GCCCCCTCGTGCTGCAGCCACCCCTGCTGCCCTCACAATGCTGCTGTTCACCTCGGTTCTCCTCGTTCTTGTCCACCACCACCACTTAGGCGAGGAGGGACACGAGAGTTATTGCCCAAAGGTGTTGCAGACAGAGGGGTTAACTGTGTGGTTTCTGTTGGTCCCTTTCGGCTCTTAGAGGGGATTTTCACGACGGCCGGCTGCTGCCACAGTCCATCGTGAGGTAAAAATCAGCCTTTCTTTGGTCTCATTTATTCTGTGTGGTTTATACCTCTTTATCTGTCATAATTTTAGAGATTGACCCTGATGGCAATTAGATGATGGAGCACAGAGGTGAGGAAGCAGTGCCAGTGCCCTCAGGCAGCAGCCATTCCTGGAGCCAAGCTGGATGGTGACCGGTGTGTGGGAGTTGTTGTTCCCAACACTCAGAGGTGTTGGGAACACCTTTGTGTTCTCCAAGGTGGAAATTGCCGTTAGGTCGTGCAGTCCAGCCATCCCTTGCCACAGAAACTGTTCCTAACACCTTGGTTAACGTGTCCTTTGTCTCAGCACAACTGGCTGGTGTCCAGCAAAATCGGGGCTGGAATCATATTTTGGCTTTTACAAATTCTTTATACTTTTAGGGCCCAGTCCAGCAATATAACTAAGTATGTTCATGTGAACAGTATCACTGATTTCAGTAAGGCTGTTGATGCCCTCATATTTAGGCACATATTTGTTCTTGTCTGAGGCTGTAACCAGTAATCCATCCTCTGCAATTCAGTGCATGTTATGTGCTTGCCTTTAAAACCTGCTCTGCTCTGCCATTCCAACACACCCGGAGTGCCTGATGGCAGAGAAAGAAGTATCAGTGATTTCCCAACAGTTTCTGCTACAAAACTGAGATTTTTCAGACATTTATAACTTCACCCAAATGTAACTGCTCAGCCCAAAATTTCCTGTGCTAGGTATGGTGAGCAAGGCTGAATTTTTGTTCAAGAAAATGTTAGCTAAAATGTTTCTGTCACTGGGAAAAATGTGTTTGGGATTTTTTTTTTTTTTTTTTTTTTAAGTCTTGGAGCAACTCTGCTGCTCTCACATTTTGGAGCAAGAAATGCAGCAGAAGAGCTTTCTGGTCTGAAAGCAGCTACTGGCATTAACAGCAATCCTCTTTGCCAGTATCTGGGAATGCAAATAAATTTGATCAGATCATGAAGTTCTAAAAATTGCGTATCACAAGCAATATTCAGTACAATGCTGTATTAGAATTTGGCAGCTAAACGCTGCCTATATTGAGAACACACTTCTCTTATAACTCCTGTATGTGAAATCATAGAAAACTGGCTTTTGTCCTTGTTTCTGCCACAGAGCAGTTGGTGAGGTTTGGATAAGTCACTTAGAGTACTAAGTTGGTCATTAATTTTGCATTTTTCATTCTAAGAGTGCCTGATTTTGAGACTCTTTAGGGTAGTTTTTCATTTCTGGTCTCCTCCTATTCCTGCAGTCTCCTGAGATCTGTAGGAAGGTAGTGAAAAAAGGCTGAATATGATTCTGTGAGATATTTTAGCCACTAAAATAGTTTTAAAATTATAAAGCGGGGGGGAGTGTGTGCCTTACTGTTCTGCTTCTGTGCAATGGGGTTTGGCTGTTATACCTTAGTAGAGGTTGAGGCGATGCTTTTATTGTTTTGTAATTGTCCTTCCCATACAAGCACTGTGGGTTTTGTGCATTAAATTAACCACACTCAGCAGGAACATTGCTGTCTTAGGACCTGAAGGAACAGCAAGGCACTGCCCAACAACCCATTTCTCCTAACCATGATGGGAGTCATCTACCTGGATAATCCGTGGCAGGTGTGTGAGAGCTTCCTTAAACCAGCACACAGCTGAGGTTACCCAGGCAGCTTTGGGTTTAACACTTCTTGACCTGCAGGTTGATTTTACGTGTGTGAAATGGTCAAGTGTAGTACATGGCTGAGACCGAAAGTATTTCGCATCTGAAGATACCGTATTTTTATTTATGGCTCAGGCAAAATAAATTAAAATAATCGATGATTGTTTTGAAAGCAAATTACTGGGAGTGCTATATATCTACCATAGCAAGTGCTGAAGAGATGAGAATGTCTTATAATGCCAGAATGAGTTGTGTAAACATGGGTATTTATATACTCAACAGCAGCAAATCTCCGAGAGGGCTTTTTGTTGGGTTTGTTTTTTTCTCTTGGCTGAGTCTCCACTGATCCCACTTTATCCCAAAGGAGGAGGAGGAGAAAACTAATGTTCCTATCACACATGTTCCATTATTGATTTCCGTTCCAATCTACCCAAAGTCTTCTGTGCTGGAAATAATTAGACCCTGTGAACAGAGATGAAGCAAAAATCTATACAATGCTGGATTGCCAGAAATGAAGACAAGGGTGCCTAATTAATGTTGCATATAGAATGCCTTTTGGATGAATGGGCTTCCCTTTCTCAGAAGCAGCTCAACAGCAGTCATGTCACAAATTTGCTGTTAATTAAATGGTGTTCACTGTGTGCCTGTAAAAATGGCATGGAGGGAAAAAAAAACAAACCACCACACATTGGACAGCAGCAGCATTTTACAAGAGCTCTCCAATTAAAAGAAAAGCCCGTGGAAAACAGATTTGTAGGCTTCATGCTGAGGGCAAGATATTTTTACCCATATGAAATTCACTTTATGGATTGTTCAAAGCTCTTTAGGAATGTGTAGTCACTGAAGAAGTTGGACTGGAAGTGTGTTGGGAGGGTTAAAGGAAGGGAAAATGGTTCTTGGAGCTGAGGCAGGATGGCTGACAGCACAGCTCCCCCATCCTTGGCCAACTGCAGCCTGGTCAGGGGTAAGGACTGTTCAGAAGGTGAGCCAGGGGCTGGAGGAAGCTGCTAGGTTAACTCTTCTGTGCATGAAGGGTGAACTGAAGGTGATTTAAGTTAGACTGTAGAGTGCACTCTGGGAACTGAGAAAGGCAGATATTTAGGAAGAATTTAAGACAGCTGATGGAAAATCTTCACAACACAGCTGCACTTCACTAAAAGCAGAAATACTTGGGGGGAAAAACTGGAAGGTACTTGAAGCAGATTAAGAGAAGAATGTAGAAGAAGCTGTATCCATATGACTCTGTTCACTTGTCTGTTTTCTCCAAATAACACACTTTTAAAGTTAGTCCCAAACCAGAAAAGTCCAGCCTTTCAGTGCGTCGCAGACAGGCCCGAATCATTGCCTAAGCTTCCTGCAGTAGCACGTGCTCTCAGTGCTTTTGCAGTGCCATCCTTCTATGCCTCTCTGGTCGTCTTGAATCCACTTGTGCTTCTTTTTCCCTTGCCACTCCCTTGCTACCCCCAGAGGACTCAGGACCGTGCTGTCCGCAGGGAGCAGAGACTCCTGCACGAGGATTCCAGGCCGGCTCTTCTCCTGTGATTTGCAGGCCACCCGTGCCTTCTTTCAGCCTTTAATTCTCTCTTTTTATCTGTATTCCCTCTTTGCTCTTCTAGATATCTGCTGTGGCCCATCTAAGCGATACAACTGCTTTCTGTGCATCTCTGGAGAATTTAAACAGCATCATTCCCTCCTTCCTTTTTTTTCCCCTATAAATGCAAAGGAAGTTTATCCTTCTTGGGCAAAGATAGAAAACATTGCTTTTTCTCTCTAAGAAACTAGAGAATGAGTAAAATGAAGGCTCCTCAGTCAAGAAGATGAATTCAGCTGATGAATCTGTAGGAGTCTTCCTAGACTAGGCCTTAAACTGCAAGAATAGATGTGTTTTCTGATGAAAATCTAGTTCACATAAAATATGTTTTTAGCATGGATTTGAGAGAGGTAATTATTTTTCCCAATGTAGTAGAAGCTGTGGTTCTGGTTTAGGAATTTTATGAAATAATTTGAGTGCAGGAGAGAGGTACTAATAAAATAGAGATTTTTATAATAGTGTACCTTTTAGTCCTCTCTTTTCTTCCCATTTGGGTGCTCAGCATAATCTCTCTCTACTCTCATTCTGTTTTAAGAAGCATTTTTCTCTCCAGGCTGCCAGCTGTGATGCACAGCTGAAATAAGTGTACATGCAGGTTACGATTCCTCTCCCCATTGTTGCATTTTGATTCCAAACTCCAGATTTAATCTATTTAAATAATCTACTCGTGGGACTCAAGTCAACTACTACAACTTTTTGATGTTCAACAAATATTAAGGCATTACAATGATTTGAATCAAATAACCAAATCCATATGAAATACACTACTTGTTATCTTTCCAACAGATTGATTTTCTTCCCTGGATCCATTTTTAAGCTGCACTGCAGTTGCTAAATCAAAAATAAACTGAGTTTTTAGTACAGGGGTGTGTTAAGTGTAAGATTTCCATTACATCGCAGCGTGCTGCATATTTAAAAAATGAAAACATGTAACACATTCTAACTAGAGAATTGAAGTGGATTTTCTGACCTAGTCCCAGTGAGCAGGTGCTGAAGTGATGGCAGTGACTGTAGCTCCTGGACTGGAATTATCAATTGAGTTATTTCTCAGTGCTAGGAGACTTCACACCTGTGGACACAGCGGTGGGGGGTGGAGGAAGAGAAGGGAGCAGACTGACATGCTGGTGCTTTTTGAAGTTATTTTGGGTGTAGAAGGTGATTGCTGTTGGTGTGGCTTGCTCGTGTATTACTCGTGTTGCGTGTTTGGAAGAACGTATCCTCACAAAGTATTTTAAAGCATTTCTGACTGTTTTAATTAATTGCAGCTGCAAAAAAAAAAAAAAAAAGAGTGTGAAAACAATTCTGGTTTCACAGAAGTCAGTCCTGTTTTGTTGTTTTCCTCAGTAGCAGCAGAAGCTCATCTCCAGAGCGTGTATTTTAAATTCCTAGGAGCATAGAAAGCATCACTGCTTGTTCAGCCCATCCAGAATCCGAGTTCTCTGTGGCTGTTGCCCTGAGTTAATGGAGCTCGCTGCTGTGCATTTCCCATTAAATGAAATTGATTCCGACCATAACCTGCTTTTCTCTTCCCCTGCAGCTTGGCCTTACATCCCCGAAAAGACATCGTAGTGACTGGCAGCGATGACCACCTGTGGAAGATGTGGGCGCTGCCCGACGGGAACATCCTCATGACGGGGGAAGGTCACACCGACTGGCTCTCGGGCTGCTGCTTCCGGCCCAGGTGAGTGCAGACAGTGCCCTGGAGCAGCACTGATCCCTCCTGGGGAGTCCTTGTTTGCTCTTGCTCTGTTCACCAGCCTGCTTTGATGACTTGCTGTTCTCAGGGTAGCCCTGCACTCTCTGCCGAATTTCCCAACATGTAGATAAATGTTCCTCTGGCTTTCGTTGTGTTGACTTAAGACTGATTGCTTTTAGTATTTTGTACATCTTAAGCTTTGCCCACGTGCACGTAACAGGTAAGCTCTTTAGGTCTTGCTGTATTCATTCTCTCCATGTTCATGCACTGTGGCAAACACAGTTCTGATATTATTCATACGGAAAAGTTATGCCTTGTACTAGGCGTTATTTGTCATGTGACTAAGAGTACTCGAGTTTACCTAGAAAATAAGAATATGAGCTTCCCTGCGCTCTCATCATATGAATTTGAAGCTGAACTAATAAATGAAAGTGAACACTGAAAATAAAAACGAAATATTTAGGTTACAGGGGTCGTGGAAATAGGGCAAACATGAAGTCGATTTTTTGGGTCTTTTCTGTTGAAAAATAGAACACCATTTTACTGTCAAAACGAAAATCCATTTCATAAGACTGAGCTTCTGTATGTTGAAATTATTTTGCATCAGGTTTGTGAGGCTGCAGTTAAAACAGAGTTCTTTGCAGTTAAAATAATAACGGTCTGCCAGGCTATTCACCTGAGGTTCAGTTGTAAAAGGAGCAATACTAAGCTTTCAACCTTGTATTTTCATTGTGGTTATTTTATGAAGCAATATTAGCACTTTGCTTCGTGAGGAGGAAATACATCGTATTTAATTTCACGGTTCCTCCCAATTCCTGAGTTTGTAATGAGATAGCAAAGGCACACACAAATCCCCTAAACACAAGGAAGTCCCCTCCCTCTTCTCAAAACCTCAAGAACATGGAGTCCTGCTATCTGGAATGAATTACAAATGCACTTACTCTTTTCTTGCATCACTTTCTCCTTTGAAACACAGGCTTTTTCTTAAGATGTTTGTGTTTTTTCACAGCGTTCTCTTTTTCATGGATATATCCTTATGAGTGATTATAGATATTTAAAAGAAGAGAATAATGTTTAACTTAAATAACTGCACATAATACAGGAGGAGAGAAGTAATAAATAATAAGCTCAGCTGCTTATTTTAACATGGTAGGAAATTTTTTCTATTACTGACTGGCAGATCTCACAGAGTTCGTGAGCATGCTGGACATCCTAAGTTTAAACTTGCAGATAAACAGAATGCTGCCTTACCTCTTACCTGTTATGAATATAAAACTTATCACAGGGAGAGAAGGGGAAATACAATTAGAAGAGCATGTTATCATTTATAAAGCTGCTGGGCATGCTAATCAGATTTCGATAATGCATTGTTACCATGACACCCGCTGACTCAGAGACTCAAAACTATTTTCTCATTAGTCTTTGACCAGAATACAGTCCTTTCAATAGGCCTTGCTATTTCTCATTCAATTATTGAAATTAAAATGAGTTGAGGTACATCATTATTCTCTTGCAGTATGAACTGACTCCTGCTGAATGCTCTGGAGTGATTCAGAAGTAGTGCTGCTAAAATATTGTCTTCTGTTACTGCATAAAATATATATAATGCAACAGAATACGTTTAATCATCTTTTTTTTTTTTTTTTTTTTTTTTTTTTAATAGGGGGCTCCTATATGTCATTTTTTTTCTGGAAGTAAAACCAATTAAGTAAAAATTAAAAGTTCTAATAGATTTTTTTTTCCCCCCTCCGGAATCCAATGTAGTTAACCTCCAGTTTGGTTACCACTTTACAGATTTAAAATTACTTTCCTCCAAAAGTGGAAAAGAAAAACATTTCTGAGCCAGTGGGTTATTACATCATGAACTCCCACACTTCTGCAGTCTTTCCTTTTCGTCCTCTGTTAGATCATTTCTCCTCTCTTTCTGTAAGATCAGGTTTAGAACAATCTCCATCTCTGGTCTGAGAAGTGTTGTGTCTCCCAGTGCTCCTGGGTCCGTGCGAAGGGTCTCGGTCCCCCACGGGACAGCCCAGGAAGGGCAGCAGGCTGGCTTTGTGGGTGGGAGGAGGGCAGAACAGCGGTGTTGTGATGCTCTCTGCACATCTGAGAGTAGGATTTTGCCTTAAGCTTTTAAAATAAAGGTAAAACTTCAGACAGGTCCTGTCGTCTGCAGCGTGTGGCAGCTGGGAGGAGAACAGGGCTCCCTTCTTTGAAGCTCAGGTGACAACTGGTCAGACTTCAAAAACAAACAATGTCTCTGCTCCAGTCTGGCTGAATAGTGCTTTGCAGATGAATTAGCTGTTCCAGGTTCCTGTCACTGTTGAAAAATTCAGTATTTTCCAGCTTACTTTTTATGTCTGTGAAAGAGTGAAGGAGTCACAATGCCTCGTGCCACAGTTGTACACAGAGGCTTCGTGTTCAGAATCTGGAGAGCTGGAGGAGAGCAGTGCGGTGCACCTGTGGATGCCAGGTGACCCAAGGGTTTGAATAGCAGACAAAAATCTGCATCTTCTGCCAGTTTCTAGAATAAGCTGATGATATTAATGCTGTACCTTTAAGAACCATACTCTAATTGCACTAAGATATTTCATGGCATGTACTAGATTTATTTTTCTGTATTACAAACCTTCCTGGGTGGCTAAAGTATCAAGCTCCGCAGCATAGCAGAGGTGTGTGTTAATGACTGATAAATCCCAGTGAGCAGTAAAATACTGTATTCTTGCCCTGCATGTGGGCTGGTACAGTATGTAATGTCCTTAATATATTCATAAATATTAATCAAGTCAGCTCTTCTAAAATGTTTGTACCCCTTTTTACGCAGACATTGTTTGGGTCACTGGAATGCAATGAATTTCTGAACTGAAAAGAAGTACAAATTGTAGGCTATTTAAAACGTGCACTGAAAGTTGTCAAATTGTGAACTCCTTGTAATGCCCTGTTCACCTAAGACAGAAGAAGAGTTGCTTGTGTTCCTGGTGTTGCTACTGCAATTCTCACAGTTACTGAGGAAAGAAATCAAATTGTTAATTATTATCAATATCAATTTGTTAATTATTATATAAAAATGACTACAGCAGTTACCTTTAGCTGTGTGGATTTTCCATGCATTCTGTTGCTACTGGAAAACTGAAGGTCCATATTGTTTCCTCAGTAATTTGTAAAATAAAATTAAAAAAAAAAAAAGTTAGGGTATGTACATTCGTGCATCAAACACCAAAATAAAGGTAGGTAATGTCTGATATCCTAGACAAAGGTTCCAATGAGGAGATGCAAGAGAAAGATGAGGTGTTGGGCTGAAAGAACAACCCCTGTTCTGTCAGAAAGAGGCAGCTCTTTTTCTCTCTCAGGTTGTATTTCTCAAAGGTGAAGGAGGTGATGTTACTTAGATGAAAATCTGTGCATGGGTAGAGGAGAAAGACAACCTTGAATGCAGAAGGAATTAGGAGAATATATTGATGATGGACGTGAGGAATGGGAGGAGGGGGTTGAATGGGTTGCAGAGGGAACAGCAACTCCAGGGGAGCTTAAATTGACCCAAGAAGCTCTTAGGGGAATTCTGTAGCACATGGGAGCAGGCTGTGGAGGGGCAGTGGTTTTGGTCCTTCCTGAGTGACTGGGGCTTTATGAGTAGCGAGCAGTGCAAGATTTATGAACGTTTGGTCTGCAGAAACTCTGAGCAACTGCCTCTAAAACCAGAGTGTCCTTGAGCAGCCCAAAGTCACTGCTGAACTGACATCTGCCAGCACTTCAGCAGCCAAAAGTGTTGAAGTTTGACTTTACCCCCTGTCTCCAGTGGGAATTTAAGGCTTGAGATGTGGGACAAAGGTTACAATTTGGAAAATGCAGCTGGATGATCAGAACCTCTTCCCTGCCTGAAATCTGCAGTGCTGTGGGTGACTCAGCACTGAGGGGGCCTTTCAAAACTAAGTCCAAAATGGTACTGGCACTGCACAGAAGGGGGCCGGGGTAATGATGTTTGCTCTAAGTTTTTAAGAGCAGTGACTGATAAATAGGAAAACGTGTGAGATTCTATCAGAGTGGAAACGATTTTCCCATTGTTTAAAAACTTGTAAAAAAAGTCTTTATAAAATCTTTTTTAAAAAGCAAATTCCTGAGCAGAACTGAAGTCAGAATAAACTTTGAAACTGAAATGAATTCTTGCTTAGGTAAGTCCCTGATTTTATTTTTTTACATGATTTAAATTTTTTTTTTATCTTATCGTCATTTGTCAAGAAACTATTCAGAGATGAATTTCAGTGTGAAGAAAGGACAGACTGCAAAGCCGGGCAGAACATTAATTGAGGAGGGGAGGGAGAGCGTGGAGAAAGCTCTGAGGAGTGATGGGAGCGAGGGGCAAAATTTAGGAAGGCAAGGCAGGCTGGGTTTCCATGAGCAGATGTGGAGAGGTAACAGGCACAGTCTGACACCGCTCCTTGCTCGCTGCATCTCGGAGGACTTTGTGCTCGGAGAAGGAGAGAAACGTTGAGGAGCAAAAATCGGACTTGACAGCTTGGCAGGTACAAGTACAGTTTCAGAATTTCACAGTGGACACGCTTTTGTAGTTTGAGAGCCCCGAGTGCTTTGATTATGAAGGTGAATTGCAAGAAGGGAGTGTGCTTCTCTTTTCTTCCATCACCTCTACAGCTCTTGGCTCCCTGCAGGCTGCTCTGGGGAGGAGGGTCCCATCACTGGTAGGTGTTTATGCATCAATCCTCACTGATCTTCTTGACAGTCAGAATATTCTCAGATTCACAGTGTGCAGTGAGAAACATCTGCAGGGGATGAAGATACCTAATCTGATACTAAAGATAAAAGACTGCTTTCTTCTTAATTACATATTGCAAATAATATGTTTTAAATAACTAAACTGATGCATGGCCCGTGAAGCCTCGGCAAATGAAAAGCACTTTATGATGTATTGAGAAGAGCAGGTTCTTTAGTCATAGTAACAGGATAATTTAAAGAATTCTACTGGCTTCAAATAT